GAGAGGCATACAACTGACTGGAGGAGAACATATGCAGGCAAGCATACAGCTTTGAACTTCCACTAAAACTCAATTCATAGTGCCGTCATAAATTTAGCCACAGACCTCTAGCTGTGACATTAATTTCTTTTTAAAATTGAGTAATTGATGCAGCCTTATTGCTGGATAGATTTTAATCGCCTTTGGCTCTACTTTTAGTAATTGCAATCTTTAGTAAAACGAAAGACCAAAAAGAAGAAAGCCTTTCTAAATTTCCCTTCTAAAGCTGGTCTGCCCTCCAAATTGATCAGTTTGGCTTTTTACTCGTTCTTAATCTAGATGAAAATAAATAAACATAAAAATTGTAGAGAACTGAAAACTTATTTTTAAAACTTACAAGTTTAGTAAATTAATGTTTTGTAAATAATTCTGAATGATAAACTAGTCATTCTTGGGTTTGGGTTTGGTTTGGGTTTTTTTCTATATTATTGTTATCATTTCAGTTCAATGCTAATACCAAAAAATTAGTTTAAATTAATTAGTATTTCCAAAGGGTCTTCTACATGTTTACTGTCCTTAGCTGACTCATTAACATGAAAGGGTTTGGTTTCAAAAATCAACGTTTTCTGGGAGAGATATTTGTTCAATATTTTTTTTAATGTGGATATTACTGAGGAAATTTCTGGTTATGGACTGCACTCTTTCCCTAATTTAAAACCATCTGAATTGTTGTGGATTTATTTATTTTTTTTTTAATAACCCAGTTAATTTTAACTGCGATTTATTCAAATTAAAACTGGAGCATACCTTCTAAATAAAATGTCTCGTAAAGGACTTCAAATGATATAGACCATACACTATTTGATGAGGAATTACATAATATTTAAAATTTGTTTTCTCTCTGACTGCTGTTGACCTCAGTTTTCAGGTACAAGATTGCTTTTTTTTACTGGAATAGGGAGTTCTCTGCCTTTTGGTTCATTAGTCCTTCCTTGGTAATTGTATATTGTGCCTTTCTTTCCTGTCAGAAGCTTCTTTAGAAGATTTTAGATTTTCATATGTTTTGATCTTTGAGTAGAAAGAAGACAACAGAGATGTATTTTGGTCTACATAGTTGTTTCTGGTCTTAAAATCAATGATGCTATTTAAAAACTGAATATAACATTCATTTTTATGTCTGCAAGCTTTGGAGCTTGGTCTCCTTTCTGCTTCTAATGTGATATATTTTTAGAATAGGAACATGGACTTGGTCTTAGAGCAAATATTTTCAGTGATAAATACAATTCTTACTAACACTTTTGCATAAAAAAAGCATCCACTAAGGTGAGAATTTAGACCATGATTTTCAGTTACAGGGATAAAAGATGATTACCGTAAAAGCATTTCCAGAACAGCTTGAGCTCAGCATCTGTGAGTTACATGCTCACAGTTAGTATGACGTTGAATCCCAGTATATTAATATTTGTCCTGGAATTTTCCATTCACCCTGGACAGTAGAAGATACTATCACCGAAGGCAAAAGTGTAGAGAAATGCTCACAAATCAAGATTAGCAAAGAATTTTCCCAGCATATCTATTTAAATGCATACCTGAAAAAAGGACTGAATAGCTGACAGCCTTTTCTGGTGGAAGGGCTTTGTAGAATATGATTGGATGGCAGTATTGAAAATGTGATTCCCATAATGCCAAATGCATTTTGTCTTCTGAAAAAAAAAATAAAAAAATACACCTATTCTATGATTCTGATGAAAAAAATAGTGAATGGCTTTAAAGTAAAGATGCTATAGCTTCTTTGGAAAACTGTAATACAGACTTGCTCCAGTTGGTTTATGAGATACTACGAAAACTAATAGATGTCACTAGACCCTTATTTCGGAAATTGCAAGTTACAGACTCCTCTGTAGTAACTTGCCAGTTTACACAAACCTTTGCCATCTACCGTAGCCCTTTGCAGAGAGTCAGTCATGACAGAGATGCTCATGTTCATGAGTGCAAGGAAACTAAAAGATAACTAATTTTATTCATAATGGCATTGCCTGCATTCTTAGAAATAACATAAAAAAAAAAAAAAATAGCTTTGCCCTGAGTTAAGGGAGAGCCAAGCTGTGTTCAGGTCAGACGGGTTTTGACTCTAGTGGAAGGAAGCTAGTTTGGGGACTGGGGAGGAATTCTTTCTTTCCTCTTTTCATAGTGAAGAACTACACATGGTCAAAATGAGTGCTTGCTGTTGGGAATTGTGGGCTTTTTTTACAGATTTCTTTCCTCTTTCTTATTAAAATATTCTTAAAAGCTAAAATAAAATAGTTTTTTTGACTTTGGTCAAATAAAACTTTTCATTTGTGCAAAATTTTATTTAAGTTTTGATTTACTGGTAACCATTTAAGTTTTGATTTACTGGTAACTGAGCAAGTCAACTGCCACTTTAAAGTAAAATGTCCAATACAATGTTTTATGTACCCTTTACAGTCATATTTGCAGATATAATATAAATACAGGAAATCAGTTGAAGTACAGTAAGGATGTGTAAAAAAAAAAAAACAGTATGTCATTTCATAGGTTAAATTATCATAAATTAAAAATCCCATTCTCTAATTTAAAAGAATAACCTAAGTATGTCAGCAATGCTCTCATAGGGATTTCTTTTTTTTCTTCTTCTTCCCTTTTCTTTATTGATGGTATTAAAAGCATGTACTATTAAAAATATAGAGAGGAGCCTGACTTTGGGGGTGCTGTTTGAAATCTGTGAGGGATGTGTGCCTGGGTTTTTTTTAAAGCACATGCGACCCAATCATGTGGAAATTGTTAGTCTAGTTCTTTAGTTCTGTGAGGAGAGTGAGAAATAATGTGAAGTTACAGTGAACCCATCTGGCCAAGCAGGAAAATCCAGTTTAATTGCTCCATTGCCAGAAATGTTAAATCACTTCCTGGGAATGCAATTCATTTGGAACATATGGAACTCATTGAATTGTCTCCAGTGAATTCAGAACCGTACTGGAGATGAGAGCACTTCTCATAAGTAACAATCATGTTTTCCCACTGGGCAGCATGTAAGCACTATGTGTAGCCGTATTAATGAAAAACTAAACCAATAGTAAGACTGTCTCAGATCTTGTTGAACAGCATTTGCTTGTGGTTTCCTTTATTTTAAATTTTCAGGAAATGATATGTTCATCTAAGATTTTTTTTTCTTCAGCTTTTAAGCAGCAACAGAACATTCTAACAGAATTTATTAGCTCATTTTGCATCTTAAATCAGCAGAATTACACTCTGTTTAGAAAGCAGACATATTTGAAAGTATCATCCAAAATGTTTTTGAACTTTGTGGATAAAGAGGGTTGGTTTGAGTGGGTTTTGGCTTGAGGGGTTTCTTCAATTGGGAACTTTAAATTTACTATATATTCAAAGAAAATGGGAAGATTTTCAATTTTTCTGTAAACTTAGTAAATCTAAACCTTTGACTAAATATATACATATGAGCTCTTAAATTGTAAATAATGAGGAAGATTTGCTTGTTTACATATATTATTTCAGCAAAAATAAATCTTTCATCATTGTTACAATAGGTTCAGAATCTCTAAGTATGTAACAATACCATGTTCCGAGTCCAGCATTTATATTATTTGCAGTCTTTACAATAGGAAGAATAGTAATATTATTTGGAAAAATTATACTTCCTATTCTGTTCTAAAAAAAAAAAAAAAGAAAAATACTTTCATTGATTTGATGTTACTATAAGGGGTTTATTTAGTGACAATTTCTTTTTTTTACTTGGGTTCACACAAATTTAAGAAAATATTTGGTACTTGGAAAATGCTGTACTTTTTGCTTGTGTGGTTAATCAATAAGACCATATCAGGTAAAAGTAGTTCTTCTAAGTTTAAAAGTACATGGAGGAAATGGAACCATGTTCTGCTGAAGCAAATGATATCAAGAAGAAAAGGCAATAAAAAGAAATCTCTGCACTTGTATTACATATATTACATACTGTGGAGAAGCTAGAGTAGTGAAAAATGGTGGTGACAGGTAGTCACCACATTATGAGGTCCTTCTCGTAATTATTCTAAGAAAACATATACTTTTTGAATGTATTTCCTTATCTGAATGCTCTAGTATTATTTTTTCCCCCATGCACCTGACTTGATTTTAAAATCCTTACTTTTGGTAACATGCATAATAGATATTGGTCACTCTAGAATCAGTCTTAGTGAATTGCTGCACGATTACTGTAGGAATGTAGGAAAACCTTTTATCTATAAATCTCAAACTACCTTTACATTTTCTGGATCTTATAGTGGTTCTTCATCCTGCTTAGAAGTACTAATATTGCAACTTACACATTTGCCCTGAAGCTTTATAGTTCTATGTATTTTCAGCTACAGCTTTCTACTTGGGCTAAACCTGTTGAACAACTCTAGCAAACTTTAGAACTACCATCTAACAAATTTACTAAAATTTATGTTTGGCTGTTAATCAACATGTTTTAGTGATCATCAATTAGAAATATTGTCTATTTCCAGGAAATAACTTGACCTGACAAATGGCAAGATTGACAATGTTTTAAAATCTGATATGCTTGTATGAAAAAAAATCTTCATGCTCATGGGAGCTGATTCAGAAGTGATCATTCAAGCCAAAGACTTTACTGGTGACTCACATTGCAATTAGTGGAGAGAACATGTCTAAGTCTGTCACAAAACCATCAGAGGTATTATCTTCTGTACCTGTTACTCTGTCATATGCCCACTGAGTCCTGTAACTGCTCCCCCCGCCCCAGTTCACTGAATCATAATTGTTCATCTCGGACTTGCATTTTAGACCTTAGAGCAAAGACTGTTCCCATCAAATGGTTGTCTCTTTTCTATGACAAAGCTATGCTTTCAATACTGTTTGCTGCTACATCTCCAGTTATCTCAATGTTGTCTCTTAAGGTTTTCTTAGAGGAAGCCATCACACTTTCTTTGTTGTGGGTTTGGGTTTTTTTAGTAGCTAACAGTGCTCAGCATAAAAATGTGATGATAACCTGTCCCTGTCTTTCCTTCTTTTGTCCTGATCCTTCATTTTCATTTATACTAATGTTTCTTCAGTCTTCTGTTTTGTTTTATTTTTCCTGTTTGCTTGCTTGTTTCTCACCTTTCCTCTTTACACATTTCCTTCCTGAGCAGTAATAATGAATCTGGGATTTTCTTTCTTATTTTCTTATTTTTCTTAGCCAGTGTAGCCACTGAGGTCTGGGAAAGAGAAGAAAATTACATACTGGTTTTGAAAATTCTATCGATTACTTTTTTAGAAATCTCTATGATAGGCTTTTTTTTAATCTTTTTCTCTCCTCTGTAGCTGATACCTTGATTTATCTTGTAGTTTTATTGTTTCTTTGGCATGTTAACTTTCTTCAGTCTATGGAAGTTAAAGCCTTTGTTGAATTACTGGAGCAAAATGGTGCTTCTTCTGAACTAATATATGTTTGTAAAAAGAAAAGGAAAAACTTCTCAAGCAAGGGGCTGTTGTAGTTTAAAATAATATTAGTCTGATGGTACATCAAACTCAAGCACCAGATATTTAATTAGTCAAAATATAGGTGAAAAAAAGAATCATAGAAGGATTCCTACAGTTATTACCATCTGTAAGGTTTTTATTAATATATTTTTTCTGAAGTATTCTATTTGAAATTTTGTACAAAATATCATCCAGGAAATGCTATAAAATACTATTTTGTATAGCTGGACAAGTGAAATCCTGAAATGAAATTTCAAAGTCTATTTCAGTAGCTCTATAGAAAGTCTGAAACTGGCTGTTTTGTGATTTTTGTCCATCAATCCCCTCTTTCTTTTTCTGTGAAATCTGCAGTAGGAAAATTCCATTTTACTATTCATTCAATCCATATCCTACTTATTTTAGGAAAAATGCACTCAGAAAACTCTGCTTTAGTCTGAAAGAAAAGTGGTTTTATGCAATATTTTTACATCTATTGCAAAGAAACAATTTTTCGATTCCAAAACCAGCTGCAGCCGATATGAAAACACTTCTATGGTTTGTCTTTTAAAACTTCCGTGAAAAGAAACTTTGTTTTAGAACAACATATGTCTAAGCACAAGTCCTCCCTATGTGGAGTCAATGGCAGAACTCTACTTGAGTTCCGCAGAAGAAATTTTATTCTCATCTTCAGCCACACTGGTTTTGTGTTCACTCCTTCAGAATTATTTAGTAATTTCCCAGTAGAATTTTATGGGCATGTATTCTAGGATGATTATTTCAGAATGTTATCATTGGAATATCTTATTAACTTCATCCTTCATCTCTTCCCTTTTCTCCTAGTCCTTTTTTTTTTTTTTTTAAACAGTAATTAGGGTCATAATAGATTATAAGACACTCAAATGGGAACTGTACATTTCTCTCCAGAGTGCTTAACAGAGTGCGACCTCAGATCTCTCCAGACCTTCTGGATGCTCGTAAAATCTACTTTAAGGTTTTATAAAGTTTCTCTACTAGACTTATTTTTTAATACTGGTATCATTTATTTATTTCTTTCAGGCTATGCCAGTTATTTCAGAGAAGGAGAAAGCTGGTGAGTAAATATTTACTTGTTTTCTCATTTTGTTTTATTTGTTTTGTGGAATACAGTGCTACTTATCTAAGTGAGAAAATACAGGCTTCAACTCCAGGGTTTTCGGCATGCAGGGTTACAGACCTGACAAAGGTCTGTGTAAACTGATCTGTTGTTTCCTGAATAGGGTATTTTCTTTCTGAAAAGCAATCCAGCTTTCTGTATGATACTAATGAAAATATTTGAAACTATCCTACGAAGTAGCCGGTTAAATGGCAGCTGCCTCTTTTGTATGTCAGTCTTCCTCTAGGTACTTACTTGCTAGTTGGTGTTAAAATCTATTTTGATTTATTTGATGTCTCGATTAACAGATGTGGATGCCAATGGGTTTGTTGAAGTCAGTGGAATTTGATGACTTACTGTGAAATTTACAGTCTGTCTTCAAGTATGTCAGGAAATTTCAGTTATCTGGAGTATTTCATTGGAAATATTTTTTTTTTTTTTTTTTTGCTAAGTTCTCCCAGAATATTGAAAGGTTCTTTTCCTGTTCTTTTCTGTTATATATGTTTTCTGCATAGGATGCATGCTTTGGTATCGGTGTGTGAAATCTAGTAGTGATTGTCTACTGGACATTGTCAAATGGGTGAATTGTTGTGACACACTAGTGAACACTTCACTTGGCACTGTAGATCTCTAGAATCTCTGTTGGTTTCTTCATAATTTATTTGAAGTGATTGTTACTATAGTACCTTAAATATGGCTTGAAAAATAGCTCAAAATATCCAAATGTCACCTGGCATTCTGATTTATGTCTGATTTTTGTTGGTGACATTTTCTTGCATTATCCTATTTCAGATTATTTTTCTCATTTTGCTTATTAAGGTGGCGGGACAGGTTAAAAAGGAAAAAAAAAAAAGGGGGGTTTGAGAGAAAAGCCATAGTGCTAATCTGTACTGTAAAAGCTATGGAGCTGGCTGGTCAGGATGTTGTTATTTTAGCTGTTGAACTTCATAAATAATTCTCAAACTGTGACCCATATTTAATAAGCATTTTCTTTATAGACTTCACAAGTGGTATTTATTGGTATTTCTTTTTCTGAGGGAGCTCATATTTGGCCACGTCCTTTAAATTATTTCCAAACATGTAAACCAATTAAACTGCGCCTACCATTTGCACCTTATCTCAAATATTTTGTGAAGCAGCCATGAAGTATTGTGGGGTTGTGTACATCTTTAGCAATTATGTACCATACAAGATGAAAAACTATCTGAAAGTCATTAAAAAATCTTCAGGGCATAGAGATATAATGACCCCAGTTTTATGCTAGAGGAATAGAGTTGCAATGAATGTTTGCCATAGCTAATGGCTTGTAAAATCAGAAATAAAACTCAAAGATCCATGCTTACTTTTCAGTGCCAAAACTACCTATCTTGTCAATGTTATGATGGTTTGAACTAAATGTATTTTTGAAATACATTTTATAACCTGTACATATGTATATGAATGTGACCTTTCTTCCTCCTCGGACTTCAGCGTTGTCTTCAGTATTTGTAGAGGTTTAACCACACTGTGTTATCAATATTATTCTGACTAAATCCAACACACAGCACCATACCAGCTACTAGGAAAAAAAAAATAATTCTATCCCAGCTAAAACCAGGACTACATTATATTTATTACTGTAAATATTAAGTGGAACTTGATGCCATGCAGAGTCAGATTGCTGACATTTCCATGTACATGAGCACAAGCTAGACTGTGAATGGAATGTGGTTGCCTTTTAATCAGTTTTGTCTTTTGTTTAACTCTTCACAGGTCAGGAGCTCATGAAGCTCATGGCTTTTTGGAAATACTAAGCAGGCATTAGGAAAATGATTATTTAAATCAGGCCTATTGACTGAAGTCACTAGGTTCTAGAGGTAGTTAGTGCTATTTGTTTTTCAGATGTGAATGGAGCTCGAGTTGGACATTCTGGTCTCATGTTTTCAGTTTTACTAGTCATTTAATCACTGCTGCTTACACTTCACCAGAGAAACAATATTTCATAAGACTCATGAATGCCAAAGCCAGAAGCGTGGAAGCCTTCAAAAAGAATATAGCATATTTGCATGTCTTCTTTAAGAGAACAAAATAGACAATAAGTTTTTTATTTGTACATAACAACAATCTCTTTTTAGTTTATATTATTAGAAAGGGACAAAAATATATTACAGAATACTACAGACAAATAGGAGTTGTTTATTTTACTACTGAAAATGCTAGTAAGACAATAGGTAAAGAGACTGGATAGCATTGCTTTAAAATTAAAATTTGATTACAAATGCACTCAAAATGTCTAGTCAAACATTATATCATTTTGAAAACTTGAAGTAATAATTTCTTGTAGCTTTCCTTCTTTCCTACTTGAGATTACTTGGTTTCATCTGAAAGTGGAATGAAAAATACAGGAAAGTAGAAAGGCTGTTATTTCAATGTATCTGGTTCAGAAATTCTATATACATAAATAAAATCCTGGTTTTACAAGACTTTGTTCTGTAGACTCAGATACCTTGATATTCTCAAATGCTTTTCCTATAGACAAACAAACATTTTGATCTTTAAATGGACTAAGCTTCTTAAGTAGTTTAGAAGTTCACACATTACTGATTATGTTCATAGCAGTTGCTAATTCTTGAAATTAATTTTTTTCTCAATTTTATGTATTTTCCAACACACAATAAATTCTGACTACATCAAATACAAACTTTCAGATGGAGTACTTAAAAAAACCACGCACATGCTATTTTTAGATTTAGAGCAAAGCCAAATATTATCTGAAAACATTGCTACTTTTGTCAATTAATAACTCAAATTGCATAACCATTTTTTTTGTTGCTTGTTTGGGGGGTTTTACAGTGGAAAGTGCAGTAAAGCCTGCAATTGCAGAGTCCCTTTGGCAAAGATCTATAAATGATCACTATTGAGGAGAACATCAGTTATGACTATGTAAACTATTGCTTCAATTTGTGTGAATTAGGGCATTGCAAAAGACATACTTTGGCATCAGCTATTTCTGAGAAATGCATTTTTAAGAAGTCTCAGTGTTTTTAACATTTCTGGCAATGATGAAAAAAAATCTTTCAAAAGAATTTTTTTTAAGGTAGAAGTTAAGATCAAGAAACATGCACAGTCAGGGAAAAAAATGGCTCTAGCCTAGAGATGACTTTGGGTTGGGGGTGTTGGCTCCTAAATCAGGAATGCAGGCCAGCAACCAGTTTCAAAAGACTGTTTTATTCAGATCCATCCATCTTTCTTTGAGTAATTTATATATTCCAATGTCTTTACATACCTTGCTGACTAGTTTTCATTCTTCAGTTCTGTCCATGATCTATGAAAAAAATTGAGGGACAGAGGGTTCATCTCACCTGTCAATAATGAAGATGTCTCTGTTAGTGGTGTTAACTTCATTTATAATCTAAAAATAATCAGCATATGAACATTTGGTTCATGTGGCTGTTGTCAGCATTTGGTTTACTGATAATCGCGTATGAACATTTGGTTCACCTGGCTATTATCAGCATTTGTTTACATGATGTCATGAATAGTGTTGGGTAACTCTCCATTAAATGTAGAGTCAAGATAGCTTGTAGCATATATACCTATATTCAGTACAATGAACCAGTGTGTGGTTCTTAACAGAGGGCTAGCTTTAGTTTCTGGAGCAGTGTTCCCAAAACAAAGGTGAAATGACTATAAGTCAACATTAGAAGTATTGCCTAAGTCTCTTTGCAGACCTACTTCATGATTTCCCAATTTATCCTCAAATATCTGTAGGGAATAGTGAACTCTATTTGTGACTTAAAAACATTGCTACAACAGAACCAGCGGGTGAGGTAGAGTGAATATCCACATCTGGTCAAGGAGTAGCGCAGCTTATTTCTCTTGAGGTGGTGAAAATATGTTTTATCACATAAACACGGCAGAAGGTTTAGTCTAGCCCTAAATAAGTATTACATAAATATTAACACCAATGCTCAATGTTATAAAAAATACATTTTTCCTGTGTATAAAACACACATGCCCTGTGTTATTTAGGTTGCACACACATTTAGAAGAGTTGCAGCTCTAAAAATAAAATTAGGGGGGTTTAAATCATTGAGTACTAGATATTATTTATTAGGCACAAACTTGGATCAGTTAAAAAACACAAAACACATGACTTGATATAAAAAAGCAAGGGACACTATTCATCCATAGCAGTAAAAATTCCCTAGCAGAACAGCAAGCGAGCATGCTTTTAAGAACTCTAATGATTCTGTGAAAATATGCCCTCTTGCTTTATAAGGAAGTTATTATTAAAGTTATAATATGGAAAAATTATCATTAAAGCTATCATATGGAAAAAGTGCACAACCTTTTTGGGTAAATCTCAATACTTTCTCTAACCCTAGTAAGTTAGAGAGGTCTACTTCAGCACAAATAAAAGTGTAAGTCTGGCATGGAGTAGAACAGATTTCAAAGCCCATTTATCATCTGTGTTTTGGTGATCAGCAAGCAAGCAAGAGGATAAACTATTTAGAACAGTCAAAGACAACAGCTTCATTGGATCTCTGGCCAATGTAGTGTTTGAAAACTCCCCAGTGTTAGCATTACTATATGGACCGAGCAGTGAACAAGTCTTGTTTTTCCTGCATCTCATCTAGATTTCTGGTAAAGGTATTATTTAGAAGTATTATTTAGTGTACAAGCTCAATGTCCTTTTGTGTTAATTGCCCTGATTGCCTTTGAGTCACAAGGAAGACAAATACAAAGATGATTAAAAGGACCTTAAAGCAAAGGTATTTCCTCTCACAGACTCTTAATTGTCGGTGTGAGGCAGTGGAGGACACTTGGTGCTCGGCCCCATGGGGAGATGAACTGCAGAACAGGAGGTGATGAAGTAATGACAAGGTGGGTCGGGCCCATCTGTGAGAACTCACAGCAGGAAAACCTTGAAAACCCATCAGTGACATGTTCACTGTCATTAAACAAGGCACATAAAAGACCAGCTGCTTGGCACAGTAGGTAGACATCTTTTAATGTGACTTAATTTGAGTGCTATTCAAAAAGGAAAAAAATAAAACCTCCACTAGATTTTACAAACACTATATGTACAACACTAGATCCAGAGAAATCAACTCTTTCTATGAGCTGTGTCCACTGGATTCTCTGTTTTCATAAAGTCATTAAAGGTTCATCCCCAAAGAGCATTTTTTGAACCTAGAGCAAACATTAAAAAAATTAATCTGATTGGCTACAGGAGTATCAGTTTCCACATAAACTGGGGAGAAATACAAGTTAATTGGCACATTTATTTGGTTTTTGGCTGCTTTATAATATTTGTAGCCAGTATTCTAGAATAAACTGGGCAAAACAAATTGTTCTTTTTGTGAGTATTGTGTAACTGGCTTTAGTAGAACTATGTTATTAATGTTTTTATGAAACCTTAGTATGAAGTACCAGTTCCTAGCTAGGTGATCTTTCTATTACTGTTGATGTTGCAACAGTTATAAAATTTGTTTTAGCTGAGTGTTTGCTTTCTAAATAAAAATGTCAGGTGAGCACTCACTTCAATCTGTCATACTAAAAAACAGTTACAGAAACTGCCAGAATATGCATGCATGTCTGCCAAGCACTAATAGATGCGAATAGATACATTTTTATTCCACTGTTATTTATTTCATTACTAGAAAAAAAAGGTCTGTGATGCCAGTAGGTACCAAAAGCTGACATTTCATCTAAGATTCGTGACGATGTTTAGGTGTTTGGTTGTCTTTATTTTTTCTAAATGCAGTAAAGTAGCTGATGTCATGATTTTTCGTATTGATTTTTAGTGGCTTACTGACCACACACTACTGTAGCTGTTCTTCTGAATAAATTATTTCACTTCTAAAAGTAACATTCACTGCATGCATGTGAGTATAAACACATAAACTTTAAAATGCACATAGCGCTGTGATAAAGCAAAATCTTAATTAACGGTAGATCCTGGGTCTGCAGATTTCCTCTGAAAGTCCACTTAAAACCATGCTAAAAGCGCTGGAAGCAGGATGGTCCCCAAAACTCCTCACAATTGTATATAACTTTCTTGAGTCTTAAAAAATGAAGAGTAGGGCCAGATAGTCTGAATGTGCTCTGAGAGGGGAGGCAGCAGTGGAGACCATTGAAGGTCACAAACATTTAGGTTCCATACCAGAACAGGAAAACAACTGTTTTCTGAAAGTCTAAAACAAATTCTATTGCATTCCATTGCATAATAATAAAGCACATCAGAAGTATCGGAGAAGTAGCAAAGCCTCTTCTACATTCTCAAATTCTTACATATTTGACCAGCTGCTGTTTCTTATCCCACCTGCATTAGTATAGTCCATCAGTATAGACCCACTTTTATACTTCTCTGGAAGAGCTTTTTAAATCAAAATATGATGTAGTTATTTTCAAAGGCTCTTTTTTTTTTTTTTTTCTTTAACATAGTCTCATCTATTCTGATCTTTAGCAAAGCTCAACTGAATTATTTTAGGTTAATGACAAGGATAGGTCATTATTTTTACATCACATTGGTCCATCATCATGCACTTTAATGCTTTTGTACCTATGATATTTTTCTAGATACTTTGATTGTCTTAATTGTGGAGAAGACTTTAAATATTTCCTCAACAAATATTCAAATGTTGATATTCACTTTAGAGAAAACAGGTAGTGCTTCAGTGCCTTGTATTCGTGTGGTGAGTAACTGAGTTTTGATTTCTTTGCTGGTTTGCCATCTTTTCTTCAATCCTGTAATAGAATTCCTTATTCTAATCAACATATTTCCCTGGTAGGAATAAAGATATATATAGTGTCAGCTGAATGATTACTGCTGCCAGCCATCTTCTAAATCTTTCTGCTCTTTTCTGTCCAGTCCAGTGTGGTTTTAAGGCAATATATAATTGCCTTATTAAGGCAAGTTATTTTCATCCCAGAAACTATGTGATTAGGAAAAAAACAAGCTTTAGTATTGAAGTATTTTAAGCATATTTTGATATTAACAATATAAATTTCATCATAGACTGATGTATGTTAAGAATGTCTCTCATAACATACTTTATCACCTCTTAGTGAAATATAGTTAAACAAAAGATAACTCAGGGTAAAGCTTTTAAAGGAGACTTTCGAAGGTCCTTTCTCCAGCCTCCTGCTCACACAGCACCAGCCCTGAGGTCAGACAAGTTTGCTCAGGATTATCCACTTCAGTCTTGAAAACCAACAAGGATGGAGCCTGTGCAACCTCTGTAAGTTACCTATTTCACTACCCTACTGTCCCCATGAAGAAGACAGTTTTCCTCATATCCAGTCTGACCCTTTCTGTTTTCAGTTTATGACTGTTGTATCTTGTCAGTCTCACATGCACAATGTGAAAAGCCCACCTCCATCTCCTTGTTGCCCTCCCATGAGGTCCTGGGGAGCTGCTGGTAGGATTCAAGAAACCATCTCTGGAGGCTGAACGAGTCCTGCAGACTCAGCTCGCAGGTCAAATGATACAGACACTGTTGGTGGCCCTCTGCTAGCCTTGTCCCCTTTTATTGGTGTCTGGGTTGTATTGGGAGGATCCTGAAATTGAACTCAGTATTGCAGATGTGGTCTAACAAGCAATGAATAGAGGGAAATAATCCCTTCCTTCCACCTACAGGCCATGCTTTTATTGATACAACTCAGGATGCTGCCAGCTGTCTTTGCTGCCAGGGCATGCTGCTGACTCATGAGGAGCTTGCTATCTGCCAAGACTCCAGGGACTTTTCCACAGAGCTGCTCTCCAGCCAGTTTTTTATCATTTATTTATCCACCCTTCCAGACTGTAAAATCCCAACTTGCAAACAAAAATATTGTGGGAAAAAATGTTTCATGATTGAGTTCTTTGCTGTCAAAATAGAAAATGGAAGAGAAAGGTTATGAATTTGTTACTTTCAGCAAATTCAATTTATTATCATAACTAATTACAGTGTGCTCACGTTTTAGAACACCACCATACAGACTGTAAGCTGGTACACAGTGTATTCTGCCTAGCATCAAATATTTAATCTTAATCAAGTTGCTTTTCAGTATAAAGTTAGTTACGAGTTACACAGTGGTTTAGTAGCATGTATATAACCCACCCCAAGTTACCTCCTAAAAGAGGTAGTCCTTGATCAAAAAATAGCTTTTAAATCAAAGCAAACATGAACAAGTTGTTCTTCCTTTCCTTTTTCAGCTAAAAAAAAGAATAACAGAGAATGGTGATAACCAATTAAGCAAGTTATTTCTAGCCTAATTTTGTTTGGACTGATTTCACAGTGAAGACTTAGCTGATTCAGAGGAAATATAAGTTAGTTCATTTTTCCCTTATTGATACTGACATGTAATCATTAGTCCATGGTTTCCAAAATAGTGCTGTGGCTGTTGATTTCAAAATCAGGTGATGGGCTTTCTTGTTCAGTGTCCAAAAATAGAGTTAGCTTCTGAAAAGCTGAGGAACCAAATTTTAAATTTACATTGGGCTACATTTCTGTAGTTATTTAGGTACCTGAGGGTGAAAAAGAAGCTCTCTGTTGTGACACATGCTAATTGTGCACCAATTCCCAGTAAAAGTTACCTCTGAGCAGTACAATCTGCACATGGCGCAGAATTGTAAAAGTACCTAGTCACTTCTGAAAAATTTAGTAAGCTCTT